GTTCAGGGTTTCACTACTAGATCGGACTCGTAGTGATCTGCCTGTTTACAGGCTCCCAAGAGTTGGGATTACAGGTGTGCCAGCAAGCCCAGTCTCAACTGCCATCTCAGCTGGGGTGAGGGGGGCAGGCCCCAGGGATTGAACCTCCTGCACCTACTTGCAGGCGCTTTAATTAAAGAGAAGCTTTCCATAGGGAAGCATTTCCCCTTCATAGAAATAAAATTTTTGGCTGAATGTATAATAAAATAGCTGCCAAGATAATACTGGTAAGTATATATGAGGCCAGAACAGATGACGGAGTTATGTCTGCTATGGAGGATCTCATGATTAAGCTAGATACTCTGTGTTAAGCAACTGAACCGGTATTTGACAGTAATTATGCAATACACATTATGGTCAATATCTTCTGCATTAAAATTAAAATTTGGGGGACTACACTCAGTTTTCTTATTTGACATTAAAATTTACTCAACAGGTTCTTTTCTACATTCAATGCTAAGATCTTCAGATACAGGGAAGAAAATTCAAGGTTTTGGGTCTTTGCCCTGCTTGCTAACATCCTTTTGGCTTTTGTCATTCTACATACTGATGTGATGAACCGTTTGACATCTTTATTTAAAATAAGCTAAATATTTTAAATGTTAAACATAACAATGTACAACAATCTATGTGCCTGTGGCCAGGCTTCCAGGGATAAAATCACATCCCTTCCAGTTTGGCTGGGTATGTACCTGACAGCTGATCTTTGCGCTTGAGGAATTTAATCTGGCACAGGACTGAAATCTGCCTCTTCTTGGGACTCTGTGTTGTTATTTTGCTGTAGGTCAGATAAATACTAATGATGAGAAAACTCAGACTCTTAGGCAGATAAGTACCCAAACAGCTAATCACTTTGTAAGTTGTCTCCAAAGCTCTTCACCTTGAAAGGATCCCAGCAAAGGAATGGCATTTCTGGAACTTGCCCTTATCATTCAAAGGAGCCTATCTCTTAGTACCTTTCAGGATTTGATGTCAGGAATGGGTGAGGCTGTGGGAAACAAATTTAAATTCATTTCAAGGAGTCTGGTAACCTGACCTGTTTTCCATAGGCATGTTGTACCTCAATAGGACAGCAACAAATGTGTCCCAAAATACAACATTCCTGGGTAAGCTCAAAGCAACCCACTGCTGCTGAACCACACCATTCTGGAAATGCTCTCCTTTATGAGATCTGCCATGTTCCCCATTTTAAAGAATTCAACTGTATTTACATGACTTTCTTTGTGGTGTGTGTGCGGGGGGGAGGGGGGTGGGGGAGGAGTAATGGGAATCAAACTCAGGACCTCATGCTTGCCAGGCAGGAACTGCACCACTCAGCTATGCCCCTGTCCCCCTTATATTTGATTTTTAAATTAGTGTAAAACAAATACAGTAGTGATGCTATTTCTTCTCTAAAATGCAATGGAATTAGCTTCTTACATGAGTGTTTCTTTTGAGCAATTAGTTTTGCAGGGATTTTCCTGGGACTTGAGGCCTGAGAGGATGGTGCTGCTGCTAAAGAGCTCTAACTTAATGCACATGGAATCTGGCGATGAGGTTAAACTTAACCAAACAACTATTTTTAAACCACTGTTAAAACCCACTCTAGCAGTGCTCTTGGAAGAAGTAGAGTGAGGTACTGTGCTTCTAAAGGGGACCATCAGGAGTCCCCACTCGATGGGTGTGCTGCCAAAGCTTGTCACTAGGGAGGCACCATAGACCCACACAGGGCCCACAGAATTCCTTGCTCCATCTGCAGCCTTATCACAGAAACAGGATTATAAAAACTCAACACACTGGTCTAATCCGGGCCTCCTAGTGTTGTGACTAAGAACCAACAGTCTGATGGACAAGCTAAAGACAACCAGGTTGTACATCTGAATTGTTTTCAAAGGCTCTACTTCCGGTCCCCACTTGAGTTTACATCTCTCCGATTCTCCCAGTTGTGGGTGTAATGGATTAACTCACATTTTAGGCTATAAATGTGCTGTCTGTTATAAATATATATTCACCCACTGTTCTAGGCTGTTTAGTAACTAGTGGCTGTTTCGTGCTGTTTGCGAGATAAAATCCCTTCCTCACTAATTCCTATAAACAAAGCTTACAGAGATGACTTCAAAAGGAAATTAAATAGGCTTTAACTTCTTGTAACCTCAGACTATGCAAGACTGCATGCAGGTACTCAGGTACAAGATAACCAGAAACTAAAACAAAGCCCCAGGAAATTTAGTTTGAGTAGTGGTCACAATGACCCTAAAAGCATTATGTTGTGTCAGACAATAAATTTGTTTACCAAACTGAATGTGGTTCCAGGTTTTAAAACCTCCCAGCTTCCTGGGCTAGCCGCCTTTTGGTCCTCTCCTGCATGAGAGCTGACCGAGGGCCCTGAGCTCAGTCATAAACGGCTTTCCAAATTCCAGTCTGGCTGATCTGGTTCCTATGCTGAGTGATCCATAGCCCTGGGAGTCTCTATAAATGCACTGACACAACTGTGCAAAGGAATAAGCCACTCAGCCTGCTGGCTGGCCACGTAAAACAATTCTCATTTCCTTTCCAACAGTTACTTAAATACTGACAAATACCTACAATGAGGTCTTGACAGAAAACAAGAGTTCAATAAACATCTGTTGACTAAATGTACAGGCCAATGAGCCACTCAACTGATGAAAAAACTGGTAAGCTTGCAAATGTTTATGAATATTTGTATATCTGGACTAGAAGGAAGTTTTTCCAAGGTAAATTCCAATAAATTATAATCCTGTAAAGTAGAACAGGTATCAGAATCTTCTGTCTGTTATAGTTTCTCAACAAGGCTGCACATAAATGTTCAATAGAAATTTGCTAACTAGATAAGTTACATCAGTTATACAAGGTAAAGCTTTACAGTTTTATCTACACAATAGCTTTGCAGAAGTGTACCTTCCCTGAAAAAAAGTAAATATTAAAAATAAACACAGAACCAAATGAAAAGCTTTTACAAAAAAAAAAAAATGCACATTTCCTGGGAAATTGGCTTTCCTTTAGGTTACTGAGATTTTTCTAGAAAAGCGATAGAACATAGATCTTCCTGCATCCTCTTGCGCTGTGGCTTTTATCTAGCATTACCCTTTGGCTTAGATTCTTAGCTAAACATGTGCTAGGACGGAAAGATTTGTTTTAGAAACAAAAACAAAAACCAGTCTTCTGTTCCACTGACAGAAAATGGTAGAGAAGGTTTGAGAGCGAAAGCCTCATTCAACTGGCTGTCTACCTTCAGGGCCTTCTTTCCTCAGCGATCAGAGCTTCTGTTCTCTGTGTGCCATAATTAGCCAAAAGGTTTCTAATACAGGAAACCACCACCATATCTTGCTGACACTCTTGTTTTGCATCCTGAGAGGCTGCATGTCCATGTTGAGGAGGTCACTCTAGAGCCCTCCTGCTGCTGGAGGCTTTGAGGCGGAGCCCCTACCTTGCACATGCAGTGATGCAAAGCATTCAGGACCCAGCAATCTCAGCGCCTGCTCCAGCTCCACAGCAATGTGCAGATCAAGCCTGTCTCATGGATAGATGGCCTATGCTGCTTTGCTGGAAGGTGAAAGTGGCTATGGAATGTGGCAGCTGTGAACGTTCCCAAAGGCCTGGAACTTTTAAGTATCCAATTTTCTATGTGATAAGCAAAAAATATTTTCTGACCAAATTTGATGGACTATACATGTGAAAGTCTCAATAATAGAGAAAAAATGATAAGACTTAAATGGAGTAGAGCTCTGACGACTCCTCTGGTAGGGATTACTGCCAGAGTCACTAGGAGTTTGGGACCAGCTAGCAAAGCCAGCAGAGTGGCAGAACTCATTGAGATGGAAGCTCCACTCACACCAGCCATCAAGGGAGGAGTTAAGCCTTTCTCATTCTGCATTTTTGACCTGTGAGTGGGCTATCATGTGTTCAACTGGAAAATGAAGCAGTGACTTAGCTTATTTTTCTCACTAACAATAGATTACAAATATACAGGTAAGTTCTTTATGATCTTTTTCAAAAATTTCAACCACATGTCTCAACTTTAATACATGGAAGAGTTTGCTCATCTCTATAATGATCTATGATTTTCTTACAAGTTTCAGGTTAATATGGCAACACAGTCTTTCCACCCTTCACAGTGACACATTGTTAGCAAATGTCCCAGCCTCTTAGGGAAGGAAACTGCAAAATCATAATGCATTCCTACCTACCAAGAAAATAATACTTCCAATTAAAAACGGTTCCATAGTAGTACAGGTAGCACCAAGGCCATGCCAACTAGACAATCAGAATGGGGGGGTAGATATCAGGTGAATGACTTGAGATGGGGCATTGGAGGTCAAAATTAGGCAAAGTTTTCTTTGTGGCTCACAATCCTAGAGACTTATAACTGCAAATATATTGAGGCCTTATCTTGTCTCATTTTAAATGTGGCAGCTGGATGCTAAAGAATAAATGGAGTTAAGAGAAAGGAAGATTTTTTGAGAACCAATACAAGATGATAGATTAATCTGAACTGTAGTCTCTTTGCCGCCTCTTGCTCTTGCTCCCCCCACCCCAAGACAATAAGAGAGCACAAAGACAAGTTTAAGAGGCTAAAACTTGCTACCAGGTGACCAATAAACCTACAAACAGAGCTTCTTATTAAGCATTCTACACAAATTAATTCTGTTTGATTCCAACTGGCCACAGAGCTAAACTCTGCTTCTGAGAGGAACTGCCCTACAGCTGCAGGGCTCACGTTTACCCCAACGCGGATGACTCCACAGAATACGACTGAGTTCTCTGAGCACGGCTGCTGAGCCACCAGGAAGCTAGCTGAAACTGAACTCACTTTCCAAGCACTCAATCAAAGAACAGTGAAATTGGGTATACAATTGTTTTGATTACCCAGTCTCAAGAGAGAAACAGACAACTCCTATTGATAAAACCAGCTGGTCCTAGGCAGTCTGGTCAAACACAACCCTCTCTGTGTCTCCACCTCTCAATGTTCTTTGGCCATTTCTGCAGAAGTGCTTCTGCTGTGCTCAGCAGTGAATAAAGAGGATGCGTAGACTGCTCCTACACAAGTAAAGATGATGAAGCCCCTTGTACCACAACCACCGTGACAATGGCCTGGGTGCTGACTGTACACACACTCAACAGCTGCACAGAAACAAAAAAAAAATTACTTGAAGGCTAACACCTTACATTTAGCCTCAAACCAAAGAACTTTATTTCCATTTTTTTTTTTTTTTTAAGCTAAAATGTTACTGAAAACAAAATTTTCTCAACTAGCTGCTTCGGAACAATATACTGTATTATGAAGCTCCATACATTTGAAATGTTTTTGAAATCTTGACAGGACGAAGTCCCTGCATTTTCCTTTGAATTTTCAAACTGAAACTGGTCTCTTCCTTTTTCTGGCTCTCCTGCATCAAGACGTGGCTGCTGGGTGGAAGGAGCTGCGGGAAAGTGCACACGAGGAGGGGCGCTGAACAAGCTGCCTTGGGCTGCAGGTGGCACTGCCTGGCCACGCTCTGGCTGCTGCAGTCCCTGCCGTGCAGCCAGCATCTGCCCAGGCTGGCCAGGCCAGAAGCAGAGCAGCAGGAAGGACTGTACCACGGGTCTCCTTGGAACATGCTATTAAAAGGTGCAGCGAAAACCCAGGCCCTGTGCAGTCTTAGTTACAATGTGGGTAGAGGAACCCACTCACTTCCTCCCTTTGGTATTAAATAACAGTTTTTAAAAAGCTTTTTAGAAACAAAGCAAACATACGGTAGGACTGGAAACGCGAGCCATCCCAGGGTAGCTGTCCACTGAAATCAGTTTATCCCTAGTCATAAATAAATAATCTCTTTCCTGGTCTGACTTCCACGCCAGGATCAATATCTCTTAACATCTTACTTATTTTATTACTGCTTTTGGTTTTCTGGGACTGATTGAAAGTTGCTCAGAGGAAATCTTTGGTTTTGCTTAAGTGTCCGTGACATTTAATCATGACTTTCCTTGCAGTTTAATTCCAACCAGTCAATCAGTTAATCCACTTCGATTGATTCTGGGCTCTCGGTTATTGGCTTGCACTCATTGGGCATCCGCTGGTGTCGGCTCAGCTGGGTGGCCTGTGTGAAGCTCCTCTCACACCTCTCGCACCTGGTGGAGGCAAGAGAGAAAATTGAGACCAGGGAGCAGAGCCTGAGGGTGATGGGCTTCCTCTCATCCTGCCTAATCAGAACAGACACTCCAAAGTGGCTTCAGATTTTACTGGCTCAAGAGGTTTAATTGGTGGCTCCTTCCAAGGCCTGGATGCCTGGGACGGGACAAAGCCCGCCTGATGCAGAACAGAGGGATCTGTCAATAGGCAGGGGGAAGGTGATTTCTCCAGAGAGCCCTGTCCTGCTGCCGCTCTGATCACTGTCAGTTCAAATAGATAAAGAACAAAAAGAGATTTTTAGGAGTGAGCCATCAAAGCAGCAGCTTGTCTGCAGTTTTCTGCTCTGTAACCCCAAAGAGAAATTGATGACAAATAGAATTTCACCTGCTGCTAATTTAAAACCTAGAATTCTACTCCCCTCAGCACAACAGCCCAGGGGTGACATCTCGGAACCTGGAGAGGGGTGGAAGCATTGCGTCCATCTGCAGCAACTATGAGGGTGGATGCAGGTGGATGCTTTTCTGCGAAGGCCAGTTATACTGTCATAGTCCCACTGAGCACAGGGCCAGAGTCTCAGAAGTAGGGACTGCGTCAGGGTGGGGCCCTCCAAAACACTGGAAATCAATGACTGTGTGCTTTCATCCCTACAGAAAGGAAGTACACACACTGTACATGGGACCCTGCTCTTAAAGAAGGAAACTCCCTACACGTCAAGAGACGAGTTTTTACTTAAGAGAAGGGAAGAAAGGCAGGAGGGCACAAAAGAGGGAAAGGAGGGAGGGCGAGAGGGAGGCTGATTGTAATCCAGAGATGCTGGATCCACCCCACCCCCCACATGACCCTCACTGACTAGCTTTTTTTTTTTTTTTTTTTTTTGGCGAACAAGGGATTGAACTCAGGTCCTTGCATTTGCCAGGGAACCGTTTATTCTACTGAGCCAGCTCCCCAGCTCTCACTGACTAGCTTATGACTACTCAATCTACAAAGCGTAGCACACCTGGTCTGGTGGGGGCCCTGGTTTTGTTGTGCTGGTGGTTGTTCCTACTTGGTTGTCATGTCTGTACACACACCACACATGAACTGTGGCATCAAGCTGGCACAGTGACTTCTCTGTCACCACTCTGCGCAGATGGGCTGCCTGGAACACTCGCCCAGCACCTGTCAGGCCCAGCGATCACCTCAACCAGCCACTTAAACATCTAAAGGAAAAGATTCCAGAGGAGATGCAGGTATTTTGTTTGAAATATTACCACCTCCAGTTCTCAGGTCCCTAAGCTACTGGGGCTATGACGTGGGCACAGGAGAAAATCACTGCTGCCCTACACAGAAGAGGAATCCAGGGCCTGTCTCCAACAAGCATGCCTCTTTTTCACGCGTTAGAAATCACAAAAGGTCCTGCCACAAACACAGCTACCTACAGGAACACCATGCACTGCTCGGCTGGGGTTACTACCGCCTGTCTGCACATACCAGGATGCTGCAGTGTGGACTTCCTGGGCTTCGGTGCCAGCTCAGTGTGTCAGGGGAGGATGCTGAGTTTCTGTGATTGTCTTTCAGGGAATATTTTTAAGCAGCATGTTCCACTGTTAAAAACTTCACTGTGATCTTGACAAATGTATAATGTCAGCTTTAATGTATCGGGCCTATCAGCTCAATGAAAATAACTCAGAAGTATTGATCACCTAATGATTTCTGGTGTATTCATTAACGGCCACAGACCGCTCATCCTCTGTCCACAGCTCTTGGAGTGCTGATGACATGTTAGCGAACTGCTGATTGTTTATTAGAAAACTGATTAGTTACTGGATTAGTGTGTCAAAATATACTACCTTTCACTACCTGACAAACTTTCAAATTATTACTTTTTTTTTTTTACTTTGGGAAGCTCAAGAATCAATTTTAAAGGGAGCAGAATAGTTGAAACATGTGAAGAGCAGCAGTTTACCTAGATCATGGGACACAGTGCTTCACATAAGGCAGAAGAGTGTGGGTCTGTGCAACACTTAAATAGCCTCGTTGGAGGGAGAGATTAAGAGAATTACATTTTTCCCTTCACATTTGCCTTAAGGTCTCACAGAAAGTGTACAGCATTTACATGTATGGAGCAGTTTGTTGTAATAGGAAATTTTTCTGATATTTGACATAAATTTTAAAAAGCTTACCAGATTTTTCTAGTAGAAAAATCATTCCTGAAAAATGATCTCTAGTACTATCTTCTCACTAAATGTAAGAAAGATTATGGTGGCTAGGGAGTTAACTTGGTGGTCTAACCACCTGCCTGGCAAACACAAAGACTCAAGTTCAATCCCTGGCAGCACATGCTGTGTTGGTCCTGGAACCCCGGGCATATGGTGTGGGCCACTGAAACCAGATGTGGTGGTATATGCCTGTAATTTCAGTGCTGGGGAGGGTGAGATAGGAGGATCACTACCAGTCCAAGCTGCATAGTAAGACCCCATACCAATAAATAAATAGTTTTAAAGAAAGATTATGTGCGAATGTATAGAATTGTGCCATAATTTCAATCCTATTTTCCCCTTCCTGACAAAATGCAACACTATAAATACTGTCTATATGGTTTGGGAATTACAAGAATATAATTTGTATATCTGAAGAGGTAAAGACAGTTATTACTTTTCCAAAATAAAAAAAGGGCCTTGGGTTTCATGTTCATCACCTTAAGTTATAGAGAAGTCTCCACAAAACATTTTCACAGCTTCATGGAACTAATTCAGTTCAAGTACCCTGGTTCTGCGAGGTCAAAGTTGGACCTCTGTGATTTGATATTTTTAATTAATCCTGAATTACAGTCCCAGAGATGTGTAGGGCACGGGCATCTCTAAGCCTGGACTTCATGCATGCATTGTAGCAGGCTAAAGAGTGAAGACACAGTGAAGGAGGCAGGAGAAAAGAAGAATGCTTTGCAGTGGGGACTTCTTCAACCTATGTATCTATGTCACAGCCTCAGAGGGGTGGAAAGTATTAGAAGTATTTCTGTGAAGTGGAAGTTCTTGACTTTCTACAGCTGAGAGTCTGAACAGACTCCATTTCCTTTTCCATTTCAGATGTCCTGCTTTACTCTGTGACAGCTGACTATATGATACATACAAGGAGCCTAACCAACAACATAAATTCTGTGTAACACAGAAAACCCGCAAGAAGCCTCCTACGCATGTGCAACATGTCACAAGATGCTTCTTGAGTTGGACCAAAACAAACAGGACTATGACATGCTCAAGACATACTTGCTGATTTGCACTTTGGATTCGGTTCAATTTTGTCTAAATCTTACTCTAATATTTGACAAATCCTTTAGAATTCCTTTGATTTCTTTATACTGAGCCAAACTGCCTTTGCTTGAGGCAAAAACACAGAGGCAAATCTTTCCCCTAGCTCTTAAGAAGGATGAAAAAGTCATCCTAGGGAAAGTGCTGGCCTGCTCACACCGCTTCCTGAGCTTCCTGAGCTGAGGCTGGGCAGAGAGCAGCCCACATGGATCCCCCCAGGGAGAGAAGAGCTCTTCACCTGAAACCTTGGGAGACTGCATTTAGTGTGACAGGGGAAAGCACTCCTTGTTGAAAGAACAGTTTCTGAGCTGCCAAAGCCCCCTCACTCTGCCCCTTCTACAGTAAAGGGCTCACTTGGTCCTTGCTATAACATGAAACCCTCCCTTGCTTTTCGCTCTCTACGCTCCATGAGTTTCAATGTCACAGAACAAACTGAAAGCCAAGATCCCTGTTCTCATCTTAGATTTTTCCGTTTTCCTATGTGTTCATTTATTGTAGAATTTTTTAAGCCCATGGCCTATGCTAGCTGTCAACGGCCCCCTGCTCTACCTAGAACTTGGGAGATGGAGGCCTCCAGTAGGATTTCAGCTAATCAGATTGTGAAGCAAAGCCTGGAATGGATTCTGACCTCTTCATGCCAAATCTCCTCCAGCCTTCTTTGGATGCCAGTCATCTTGCTCTGCCTCCAAAACCCACTTCTCAGCAGAGGACTTTTGACTTGGAAAGGGCTTTCCCTTGACGTGGCAGGCTCAGCCTCAGCTAACCCGAGGGCCCCGGGTGGTCTCCTGAGCCACAGGGGGGAGCAGCAATTTGAGGACTGAGCCACTCCGGCCATCTATGTGGGGCTGCCAGAGACGTACAATTTGGGCTTGTGCGCCTTTATGATTCTTCATCCTTGCAGTATTGTTTAAGCCAACACCCATTAGTTGAAGTAGTAAAAGTAACTGTTGTGATGAAACCCTTTTTATTGACTGGTATGCAACAAAAGTTTTTTTGACTGTTTGTTTTATAAGCTTATAAAAGGCTATCCTTATAATATTTACAAATGTCCATGGGTTAGATATCCATGAGCTATGGTTGGAAGATTCCCAAAACTCCCTTGGGACAGTTCAATCCTGAAAGACCTGGTTGTGTATACTAAAGGATTTAACTTTCCATTTCCTAGAAGATGTTTAAATTTTGTGCTTTCAAAATAAGCATCTACTCAGCTCTGCCCTGGAATACATACTTGACAAATTAAAAAGTGAAGGACTACAACATGTGGCTGTCTTGACAAGGTGGAGCCCAGTGAATGGCGGCGTGCACCAGTACCTATCGACAGTCCTGGCTGCCTCCATTTCATTTTTACCCAGTTGAAATTAGGCATAGTTAACAAATAAGGGGAAAAAATAGGAAAAGGAGAAAGACACAACCACTAAAGCCCTTCAAATATTAATCTGATAAATTAAAAGTAAGTTAAGATGGCAATTCTATTGGAAACATGACAAAAACAGGATGTTAAAGAAAAAATTGAGCAGAGTCAACAAGGCTACACATAAGTAACACCTTAACATTAATAGAAATCTATTTCCCATTTTGACCCTGAAACCTCTTCAATTAATTACTAAAATCTATTTACACAGCAACAAGATAAAAATCAATCTTATTCCTGGCACCGTATCTGTCTGGCTGTCCCCTCTGATATAAGGCACATGTTCCTGTTTTTGAAAGTGCTCTTATTCAAAGGCACAAAAATGTGCCAGTGACACTTCTATCCCAAGAGCTGTGGTGAAGAACAGAATCTTCGAATCTGCTGGGCACTGGGCCTGGGGTTGATGACAAGAGTCTCCAGGGGCAAGACACAAACACTAAGCATAAGGAACTCCTAAGACTGCAGTAAGGTGACCTTTCTTTCGAGGGACTGAGAAAGCTGCCCTCTTGGACCACAGCAGCCCCAGGGCAAAACTTGCTTGGTACCTGGCAGGCCCAATTTAGACCCCATTTTACACCCCTAACCAGATGTGCTGACCCAGTGATGAATTATGCCTATGTACACAAAAGTTAAACTGTTTTTAGTATTAAAACCAAGTAAATTATGAAGTAGTATAGCTCAGCAGACTAAAGCACCTGCTTTGCAGCAGCCAGCATGCTGAGATGGCCGGTCTGATGGGATTAAGACTGGGTGTGGTGGCGCACACCTGTAATCCCAGCACTTGGGAGGCTGAAAACAAGAGAATCACTAGGAGTCCGATCTATGTAGACTCTGTCCTAAATACAGAAAAAAAAAAAAAAATCATGAAGTAGTTAAAAATGATAGAGGTAACAGTTCCTGGAGAGGTGAACACAGATGATGACCCCAGATCCGCAGGACTCACCACCCCAAGCTATACCTGTCCTCAGGGAAGAGGGCCCCCTGCATCGCCAGAAGGAAAATAGAGTCTGAGTCTCTGAGAAGACCTCTTGGCCGAGGCTGAGCAAAGCAGCCTCTCTCCTATTGCCTGAATCCTTTCATTTCTTGCTTGATCTTGTCCCACAGAAGGCAAAGAAAACCATACATCTATGCCCTTTTAATTTTCCTTCTCAAATGGGGGAAGCCAGTATGGCAAATAAATGAAGACATATGTCAGAAGGTTTTTGGAAAAAGAATTTATCACACAGAAACTAAAAACTGCTCTGAGACCACCAGCTTGTGATGCACTGACTTCCCCTCCCACACCTCTCCCCATGCTGTTCTGAGCAGAAATCCCACCTTTGCCTTCTCTGTCTGGAAGCCCCTGCTTATTCTTTAAAATCCATCATAAAAATCATCTCCCAGGGAGCACTGATTACTTCTCTGCTACTCTCAGACACTGTGCAGATATCCTATTGCTAGACTTTTTACTTTTATTACAGTATTTATTAATTGGGCACCTTTTAAGTGAATGAACACATACACAACTGAATGACAGAAAGAGTATATGAACCACTGAATGAACAGGACATATAGTATGATTCAGATGTCCACTGTTTTGAAGATTGGGCTGTACAATGTATTCAGGGTTCCTTACCTTTCCCAAACCCTTTCATCTCTCTCCACATTTCCCGAATCCCCAAAAAGTCAATACGGTGTTTGGTTTTGTTTTTCTTTTTTCACCAGCATGGCAGTTTTGAGAGATTACACTAAACAGTCAGAAGCTGACTGCCATAATAAATTCAAAACTCTTTAATATACAGAAGGGGAAATCGATCACCAGAATCTTGAAGTGTTCACATACTCCAAGAAAAGGTAATTTAGAAGTCCTAAACTTGTAACCAACTTTCCAAGGACCACAGGATTTGCTGATAACCATGAGAGTTCTGTGTGGCTCCCAGATAAAATTTGACGCACAGACCCTCAGCAACTGGAAAGAACACTGAAAGTATTTACTTGTATCTCTTTATTTCACTGGCAGTGACTTAGATCTTCTTTTGCGCAATGTAAAACATACACACAGTTTCCTTGAGGGCTTGTTTAGAGGTGCTGGCAGGGAAGCTCAGCTACTCCTATACCCTTGACTGAGAACATGGTCCTCCTCTAGCAGGTGGTCATTCTCTTCCACTGGGCGTGCGGTGTCAGGAAGGATGCATATGGACGGTGAGAAAGGAAGGGGACATCTTCCCAGCCAGCCAGATCAGCCGAATCCACCCTCGCGATCAATGGGGTGGCATGTTGCAGCCAGATCGCCCTCACATCCAGCACAGAGGCTCCCCGGAGCCAGTTCCCCAGCGTTAGTCACTAAATCAGGAGGGCTCTGGGCAGCCTGAGCTCCCCGGAGCCTTCACAAGCAGCTGTGCAGCGCTCTGCCCCGGATGCTTCTGCCAGCCTTCAGGAAGGGGTAAGAGAAGCGGACTGGCGGCTGCTGCTACTTACTTGAAGGGCTTTTCTCCAGTGTGGGTCCGGATGTGGTTGTTGAGGGTGGTGGCCCCAGCAAAGGCGCGACCACAGTAGCCACACTTGAAAGGCCGGTCGCTGGAGTGGGTGACCACGTGGTTCCTCAATTCCGAAGGCTGCGAAAAGGACTGGGAGCAGTGGCCACATTGGTAGGGTCTGAAACAAATAAAGAAACTGCCAGGTCATGACTTTCTACACTGGCCAGGGAAGTCAGACTCCTGAGGCGAGGGGCCAGTACCTGTGGTGCCATGCCCACCCTTTTTCAAATGGTGGACAGCTTGGGCCTCTGGGCTCCCAACACTTGGTGCCACACAAACGGAAGTCCTAAACTGCTGAGATACTTTAATTCCCAATGAACGCTCCCTTCCAATACCAATTCTAGTAGTTCAAGAACCCCTTCCTTCTTGTCTATCTCCCTGTAGGCATATATTCATGCAGTTTTGTAAGCCTTCAAAGCCCACACTCGATTCAGCAGAATGTTACAAAAGGAACCGTGTGATTGTCTCCTATGCTTTCATGGCATTCTCAGCGTTTCAAAGTCCTTCAAAATCAATTATCTCGTTTAATCTTTACAGTAATCCTCCGAGACAGGGAAAGGAGGTGTTATTATCTCTGTCGGTTCAGAAAACTGAAGACAAACTGTCCTCACCAGACAATAGCTGTTGATTCCAAGGTCACCCTAGGGCATCTGGATCTTAACTGTAAGTGTCAGGTAAACATGGAGACACGTGAACAAGCTGTACAAGTATTTTAAGAAAAATTGAACTTTCTTGGGGTCTGTACCTCAACCACTGGAGTTGCACAGATGAACACAAATACACACCCAGATGTGTCACATTGTAGAAGAAATCCTTGCTTCTCCTTACCACCCCCTCCAAATATTTATTCAGAGGCTTTCTCTTGAACCTCAACTACCCAATTTAATCTGCAGTGAGGAGCAATCTCTAGCAGCACAGGAGTGACAGGGACGTCTCTGTGCTTGCACAAGAGTGACTGCAGTGCAAAGCAGCTGGGAGAAGCTGTGACAAACACCTGATAATTAGCAAGATTATCAGAGCACATTCTTCCCAGCTCCTGAGAAATAGATCGATTTTGTTTTCATAAAATAGATTAAATTTCTGTCTTCTCTACTGAAGTTCTTCTGCTTACTGAGGCAGAATCTAGAGAGTGAATAAAACCTGAGGAGTTTTTCCTATTTGAAGATATTTCATGTTATTCTTTGACAGGGCTCTAATTTGTTTATCAAACTTTTTGTTCAGAAAATTAAGACTCGGTTGTGAGGGACACAGCACTCACTATGCCCTGGTTTGTGGCCCAGATGTTTCTGCCTGCATTTAGAAAGCCAATGCAAAAGCGGACTTAATTGTTCTACCTTTAACAAATGCAGAAGCACCAATGACCAGAAACCAAGATGAAGGGCTAGGAGACAACAGTGACCGGGCATGTACAACAATTCAATTAAGTGCAAAATAAAGTGTACCCACTCATTTGTCAAGTGAGGTGCTTAATTGTGGCTACTTGCCTCACTGAACACAAATACTATTATTTTACCAGGCTTCAGCACACTGAGCACTGATTGTAGAATTTTTTAGCTTGATTAATAGTCTAGGATTGGTCAATAACTCAATACCATACAATTTTAATTACTTACATTTAGAAATCTATCTAACTGCTTTAAAACAAGTTTCAAAGAAATATATAAGAGTCCTTGGTAAACAGTTTATCAATCCTGACAAATCACATATGCATTTTATTACAATTATAAAATAATGCTTTGAAAGCCATTAAAATTATATGTAGATGAAAATGTCCTCCTGCCAAATCTGTTTGGGTAGTAAATGTTAACTTTAAAATGATTCATCAAGGAATAATTCTCTCAGGGTTAAATTTTTAAAATGCTATTGAAGATTATAAACAAAAATATATTAATATATGCTATATTCACTGACAATTGATTTTCTAATAGTGAAGGGACCATTAACATTTATTAGCCTCTGGTTATCTATTTTTAATAGCTATCACTATAAACAATAAACCACTAAATAAAACCAATTAATCTTTTCTTTTTTTTTTCCTAACTCACTGTCAAAAGTTGGGATGATTTGTTTCTCATAGTCAGAAGTCAATCCATCCTTCTTATGTTAATAGTCACTATGGCAAAGATTTACACACCAAAGAACAGAAAGGACACAGAGAGGCTTAGGCAGAATTCTTCCATCAGGGTAACACTAATAAAAGCCAAATGGGATTCCAAAACATCACCTTCACCTCTATCAGCCAGGTTTTAAAATTGCAGAATTCAGCTTGGCTGACAGAAAAGTCTAGAATAAGAGTAACAGAAAGAAGGAATCTACTCCAGCCTTTGAGCCCCAGCCAACTGTGGGGCTTAGACAAGACACCCGACTTCCTGGATGTGGGCTTTCTCATTGCTCTGCAAAGGGCGTCTCACTGAGCTAGATGCTCTCTCAGATCACCTCCTGTCTTTGGAGAACTGACAAACATGTTGGGCTGAGGATCTGTCCAACAAATAACCTTGCAAGACAGCACAGCCAACATGAGCTCCACCTTGTCTTGTGTATACTGGCCAGCTTTGTGGACCTGGAGCTTTGTGTGTGTGTGTAGGCAGTGACATGTACATGTTCATTAGACTATGGTAATGAGCTAAGAATTTCAAGCAACAAAATCTACTACCCAAACCTTATTGTATTTTATTTTTTCTGTATTTAGGACAGGGTATACAGGGTCTCACTACATAGATCAGACTCGTGATCCTCCTGATTTCAGCCTCCCAAGAGCTGGGATTACAAGTGTGTACCACCATGCTCAGTCTCAATCGCTGTCTCAGTGTGCCCTGGGGGCGGGGCCAGCACGGCATGCCGAGGATCAAACCCTGGCCACTGTGCTCTGCCTAAGCAAGTGCTTTAGTCCACTGAGCTATCAGGATGGCCCTTAAACCTTATTTTAGTTAATCATAAAAAGCATTCATTCATAGATAACTTGACAAACAAGACATTAGATCATCTGAACATATGCAGTTTTCTAGAGCCTGATTTATGTAGAAGTTAGTTCTGTTTTCTTTCTTTCTTTATTTTTTTATGCAGAACTGGGGATTGAACTCAGGCCCCTTGTGCTTGCCAGGCAAGCGCTTATTCTACTGATCTATCTCCCTAGCCTCTATTTTCTTGAAAATTAACAAAACGTGATTTTTAAATGGACTGTGTGCCAAGGGTCTAATCTAAGGCTCAAGAATATATTCAAGACAGATCCACCAGTAAGCTGTACAAGACACTGTCACTACTCTGGTACCACAGCCATCACACTTATTTTCTAATAACCGGACACAAATTAAGAGAATGTGCATGCGTCTCTTCCAGCGCACCCCATCTCCACACCCCCCACCTCAAGCAGAGGCCTCTGGGAAGCAAATTGAGTCACCACTGGTCAGCTTTCTATTCTGATAACTAACACTGCTATTTGTTCTTTCAAAGTCTGGCAGAAAGATAATTCCTTAAACTTTTGAATATAATCTACTTTAACCTTGAAGTTCTGTCTCCCTCTGATGTGTCATACCAGGAGAAGAAGTGTATAAGGACTGCCGTCCAAGGGCCTGGCCTTAGCTTTCCATGACACTTCACTGCTCTTAAAGGGGAATCACACGAGGGGAATCACATTTCATAATCACAGGTGCCTTGTGACAGTGCTGCCTACTGACAGAGATATCCTGCATCTTGGTTATCAGGTATAGGGGCCACTAGCCACACCGAGCAGGTTAGCACTTGAAACATGGCTAATGGGCTTGAGATGCAGAATTTTTTTTTTTTTACTTAATTTTGATTAAATTTAAATAGCCTCACGTGGCTAGTCCCAACACAGAAATATTAAACTTGGTGAAAAACTAGAATGTTTTCCATTCTTGATGTAAAAAAATGACTGAAAACAGACAAAATGTGGATGAACTTAGCATCTATTAATGCTGCCAACAGTTTAAGCAGAAAGAAAGCAGTAAGAAATTTTGTACATCCCTGGCATTTTCTGTCACTGGCAGCTCCTCTGCCAAAGATTACGCCAGTAAAATGTGCAATTCATTTGCTTTGAGTCTGTAATTGGTTTGGTGTACACACAGAAAGAGGATGAAACATTTAACAAAATTAAGTGTGCTTTGGTTTCACATTATTAATCCTTCTTTGATTTTTCTTTCATGGGATGAAAGCCTCCAGGACAAAAGTTGTTCATTTAGGGTTACATTCTCTCCTGCTCCATGTCAGCCAAAGTGCAGATCTCCTAAGACTTCAAAGGGGACTCACTTGAGTCACGGCTGGCTGTGCAGAGAGGGTAAAGAACATAGCTCTATGTAGGGAGAAGATTCAGGAACGTAACCACAGTGTAGAATCAAAAAGTCTGCAGAACACTGGAAATCAGAAAGAAGTCAACCTGCACTTTTGGGGAGGGGAGAGGAGAGGACACTGGAATACGAAACACTGATACATTTCCAGATGGTTATGATAAGGGATCGCCTCCAGCCTCCTTCCACCAAAAGGCGCCTTGTAAAGTCATTTCCCCTGCCAGCACCATTCCATGCAGTTACAAATAGTGACAATGAGACTCAAAAGTGAGTGTCCAACAAGTGTGGGGGCAGGCAGTTCTGTATAATCAGAAAGAAGAAGGATGCAAAATAATGATACAAATGGTAAAGACACTTCATGTGAAAGTTAAAAGGAACATATTCACCAGGAAATAATCCACAACAACTGAAGGTTGTGCTGACGCCCTTATGGAGCCTCCAGGTGCTTCCCTCCAAGGGACCACTGCACTTCTGCAGCAGAAAATAGAAAAGGGACTCTAACTCCTGGCTCAAGCAGAAGCGGGTCAAGCTGCCTTGGCCTAGGCAATAAACTTTATGTAAAAAGTGAAATGTTTACAGAGTTTCTAAATAGAAATGTGGTTTATCTAGATCCCAACAGCTTCTTCCCTTTGAATTTACCCAGGGAAAAAATGTCAGTAGCCTGAGAAAAAGGAAGAAAAGTTTTTTTTATTTTGTTTGTTCTATATTAACAGAACAAAATGAAGAGAAATAACAGTTTTATGGCTCCTGGACCCTTGTTTATGTTTTTACCTTCTGTACTATTTCTTAATTTACCAGGACAGACTTTTTTTTTCCACTCAACATGAATAACTCAGTGGTAGGAAATGGATGTCCACAGATTTCTTTTCTTTAGAGCAAGGGATAGTTTTTTGCATGGTACCTCACATCAAAAAACAAGCAAAGAAACAAACTCCAGAACATAAATACACACAATCTCTTTGGTGGAGGGAGGTTGAGATGTCTGGGGATCCATGGACAAATATTCCATCTGTTGAGCGGAAAAAAAAAAAAAAACCTCTGGATTTCAGATTCATGATTGTTTCAAACTTAGAACTGTCTGAAATGCTAACCTGTTCAGCTTCTGACTTTGTCTTCTATGTCTCCCTGGTTCTAGCAAGCTTTTCCCATTAAAGTAAGAGTATTTGGTCTTTCAAGCAGGAGAAGAATGGATCCTGTTTGTTGAACTTCCTGGCTGTGCAATCAGCCCTCTGCTCATGGAGGTCCCGCATGCACCACCTTAACCAACTGCAGACTGACAATATTCAGAGCAAATCCTGTTCTGCACATATGCAGAACTTCTTTTCCTGTCATTATGCCTAAACAATATAGAATAACAATTATTTACATAGCATTTACATTAGAGTAGATATTGTAAGGGATCTAGAGATGATTTAAAGGACACAGGAAGACTGCATAGGTTACATAAAATCCCACACCATTATCTGAGGTACCTGAGCATGCATGGATGGTGATGTCTGCAGGGGTCCTGCCCACAGACACTGGGGGACAATCGGATATAGATGAATGGGCACAAGCTGCCAAAGACTAGAACCCATCTGAATGGTGGAGCAAATCACCAAAGAATATATGTGTACTCAGCAGCTGGAAGTTTCCACATTGATAGCAGGTAAGCCTCCAAATTTAGCAACTAGCATAAGCAAATCTGATGTTCCATTGTAGCTCTGCACATTTCTCCCATTTAGCAATTCACTCATGTGATTAAGAATAATGGAGAGTATCTTTTACTTCCAAACGTTCTGGTAAAAAGAGAGCATCTGGGTTCTGGAACAGAAAAGAGCTATTTCAGTCCTGGATGCTAAAAGAAAATTAATCATCTAGAATGAAATTAGTAGGTCAGAAAGGCTGGGCATCACCCTCTATTCCCTCTTATCTCCAATAATCAACTCAGATATGATGCTGTGATTCAAGCTTCTCCACGTGGTTAGTAAGACAACACCGTAATTTATCACTCTACCAACACAGGGACTGACTTTTTCAAGTTATAATTCATTTTTACTCATTTGTGAAGATAGCGGCCACCTTTCAAGTCTTCACCAACAAAGTGCATGGAAAGGAAAAGCAGGAATCCACCCTTGGAGTGACTCTGAGGAACCCTGACAGCACATCCACATTGCTGTGCTCCAGCCAGGTCACCCTGTGTGCTGGGCAGGTAAGTTCATAAGGATCATGCATAGTTTAAACACACTAGCTAACTTTTTAAGTATTTTTCTGACAGCTTTTTAAAAATACATTTTCCAATAATTTTCATAAATGTATTATAAATTAGAACATTTTTACAGGACAAACTTCATAGGGACTTACACCATTATACAAACAGGATTTTCTAAGAATAACCATAATAAAAACACAATTATCTAAGACAGAAGTCTGTTTCAGTACTTTGTATGTACCATCAAATAGTTTCATTATTTTTATGATATTTAGCATGAAATACCAGATGCAAAGTTAAGCTTTGAATTCCAATATCCAAAAACTTTCAACTATCATTTTATTTTATTTTATTTTATTTTGGGTATTCAGTTACTGTGACTATTACCATACCTTTGCAAACGATAGACTCATTCACCTGAACTTAATTTAAAAAAGCATGTCTGTAAGATTTTAATAGGGGCTGGTGAGATAGCTCAATGGACTAAGCACCATGCTGGCCCCGCCCCCAGGCACGCTGTAATCCCTGTGCTGGGGAGGTTTAAAACAGGAGGATCACTATGAGTCTGAACTGTATAGTGAGACTCTGTACCAAATACATAAAAACTAAATAAGTAAAAAATGTTTTAATGGATCATTTACACTTTTAAGAACTGCTCAAATACTTTGCAAACTTAAAGTAGCTACATCTTGAGGCTTCGTGTATACTTGCAGGAAAGGTAAACTTTAAAAAAATACTTTCTGAAAGAAGAAAACTTTTTCACCACTATGTATCACTTATGTATATCATTTTAGTCCATGCACAGGTAATATACCTGTACTGCCAAAGTACTAAGACACAGACAGGTCTGTGAATAACTTTCTCCAAGGCATGGATGCCCTTAACAGTCCTAATGTAAATGTTTCAATATTATTAGTCACAGCAATGCTTGATGATAAACAAGTGATTTCTAGGATGGCACACACACACACAAAAAAAAATACTTGTAAGTGTACATATGTACCCTGCCGTTAGTGTAGAATACCCATTCCCTTCCACCACACCTTCATCCTCTGTTCTCTTGTTTCAATTTTCTAGGCATACTTCTGTGTCCTGCAGCACTTGAAGGGAAGAACTAAACATGTACTGATCGGCACAGAGAGTTAGTGACTTGCTTAATCAAAGTTGATCAGTGACAAAATTAAAACAATTCAAGAACCCTGTGTCTTTGACCTCCTAGTGCTAGTTCCAAAAAGTATTTTTTTGTTTTTATATTCAAAATGTATTTTCAATGCTATTCTTAAATATTTGGGGTTTAATCTAGTTTTCATACGATATGAGAGATAAAACATGAATAATCTTTCTTATTGAATTAATTTGATTTTTGTCTTTTGCACTCCCAGCTATCAAGACTGTCGAATAAACCAGTTTTGATTCATAAATAATAGTTCCATTATATCTCCTGTGCCACTCATCAGAGTACCTGAAATTTTAATTCACTTGTTCAGCTAAATTTCATCCTCAGTTCATGGCCATAAAATTCTTTATTGACAAACTTTCAAGCCAACTTTGACTCTGAGGTATCTAGTCAACATTTTTCTTCTGTGTGGATATTAGTTTATTGAATAAGTGGCATCTGTTTTCCTCCACATCACTAGCAGAGGAGGTATTTCCTTTTGACAGCTTTGCAGGATTTATGGGTTTGCATGCTCTGAAGAAAAATAGAACTAAGCAAAAAATTCCAATTCATTACCTCTTAGTACTTAATTAAGTTCATACCCACAGCACACTGAAGGTGAACTCTGAAATGACTATGACAGCCGCAGAGCAGCCTGCTATATTATCTTGGGAAGACTGAGAGGATTCTAATTATCCCCACCTCATTTTTCTACCTGTGATATTCATGAATGCTTCTTGTACTTCCTGTTACACTCGGACAGCAGTGTTTGGATAACAAGTGCATATTCCTTGCTACAGCGAGAAACCCGCCTGCAGACCCTGGTAGACAATAGATGTGTGGAGCGCCTCGCACTCCTCCGGCCCTTCCGGCATGCAGGCACAGGAGGCAGCGACCGGAAGCTGGCCGGAAGGGAAGCAGCATTCTCACTAAGCCAACAGCGTGAGCAGCGGGAGTCACGGTTACCTGTCGGGGTTCTGCGTGCACACGTTCATCTGCAGGAGGATCCTCTGGGTGAAAGTCTTAAAGCACTGCCCGCACTTCCAGAGGTGCCAGTCACTGAACTCCGAGTGCAGCTGGCTGGTAGAGGTCGGGCTTGCGAGGACTCGCTGGTTTTTCACGTTGATCTGGTTAAATCCGGACTCAATGGGCCCAGACTTATCCAGGAGCGAGAAGTTTCGGTTGCACGGAGTCTGTGGGAAAACAACGGATCGCTGCGGGGTGGCTGGGGAGAGCTTGCTGCTCTTGCTGAAGGGCTGCAGGGCGTCCTGCCGGCACATGGCTTCCGTGACCGTTGAAGGGACGTTTACTAGGAGAACAGCAATAGTTTTAGAAGAACAGATTTACTGCCCCTTAAAATAAACACAATTCTTACTTTGTTAAAAGTCTTACAAATTGACGTTTTAAATTTTTGTGTTTTTTTCCTCAACTCAAAATGTAATAAAAATCATTTGAGGGGAAAGACAATGTTCTTACAAATTAGTAACTCAACAAATGCGGATATATTTTTATTTATTTGAATAATAAGCATCCCTTTATTTGCTGACTGCTATTACAAAAACACATTATGTCAGCAACAAAAATGTCCTAACTGATGTCAGAAGCAGTTACTCCCATAAAGCGGTAAGTGAAACAGTGTACAACATCAGTATTAAAATGTTAAATTTTACATTGTCTTTATCACTTTGATCTTCTGAACAACTGAATTGAGCAAAATAAGGTAAAAGATTACATGTTTATTTTATCTTCAGGAATGTAAAGGTCTAATTATTCAAACAGCTTTTATTATAAAACTAAACTCTGAAGATGTCTACAGGGTTTGGTTCTTTTTAAATGTTTCTCTTTAAGACATTAGTCTAACAAGGATTAGAAAAGACAAAACTCTGTTCAGTGTTTCTGATGGTAGAAAGGGTGAAAACATAAATAAGGCTTTAATTTGGCAAAATATAACACAATGCCTGCTGCTATCCTCAACTGAACAGACGTCGTTTATTAAGCAACTAGTACACACTCAATATGGTTCTTACATGGTCTTTGCCTTCAGAGTTCATTTATGACCTGCAATGAGGAAGACTCCACAGCGAGGTTCCACACCGTACCCCTCCTGGAGGGACCCTGGGGGAGGCCAGCAAGGGAGGGAGAGGGCAAGGGCTGCTCCGAATGGGGTCCTGAGCAGTGCACAGGCAGCCTCGGCCAGTGGGGGAGAATGCCCGCACAGGACAGGCCTCCAGGAAAAGCTGGCTGAGGAGATGGAACAAGGTTACAGGCGTAGCCTGGGATGCTGGGCAACTGCTATCAAGACAGGCTGGCCGGGAGGCACTCCAAGAGTAAGAGCTTGTGGTGGGGGCTAGGGACAGACTTCAGAGGGCCTCAAAAGTTAAATATAGGGGCCAAGGATATAGCTCAGTGGCACAGGGCCTGCCTGGCAAACTGAAGGTCGGAAGTTCAACTCATGGTACAAAAAAAAAAAATAAAAGTCAAATACAGATAGACTTGAGCCTTAAGAAAAGAATACAGGCTGCTTTTGAGCAGATGACTACAAGAAAAAAAAAAGCCACACTGCTTAGGGTGGGCTTGAGAGAAGCATGATGAATGACGGGGTGCTGTGGACAAAGTGAGAGTGGGGGCCAATGGGGAAACAGAGGTGGTGCCTCTACCCAGTTCTGGACGAAGTGGTGTACACTCGTAATCCCAGCACTCTGGAAAGCCAAAGCAGAAGGACAACATGTGAGAGCCCAGCCTGACTTAGTAAGATCCTGCCTCAAAAGAAAATAGTGAAAAAGGGCTGAGGCTGTAGCTCCGCGCAAAGGGCCTGCACTCAGTCCCCAACAGGCAGACACTGCTGACCAGCCTCGCTTGGAATAGCAACCTCATGGTTCAGTGCCGAGTAAAGTGCAAAATCCTACACCCAGGGTCAAGTGATACCACATATAGATAGCACTCAGTACAGAGGCTGCCCTGCAGTTGACACCCAGTGCGGGGCGCTAGGAGCCCTGGTTTCCTTGGCTTGAGCCTCTTTTATGGGGTTCTCAGTGTGATAATGAAAGTGCTCCTCACAAGGCCCGCTGCCAACAGCAGTGACCACTCTTATTACTATGCATAGAGAAGAGAGTGACATGGGAGTTGGGCTCTACGCCAGGGTGTAAAGGGCAAGTGGAGAGAGAACTAGACATAGGGAAGTTTCTGAGGAGAAAGGTCTAATATACTTGAAATTTACTGGGGTTTTTTTGCCAAGGTTTTTATTGCATTAATATTTATGAAGTGTTCACTGCTAAGTCCACAGGTCCAAAGATAATAAGAACCTTCCTGATAGGGTTAAAAGCATTATTTCAATACTGTACCTATGGGTCATTCCAGGGGTTGAAGAAATTAAAGGTCATAATGTGCTCAAGAGAACGAGATGATATTGACAATTTGGATAGAATGATTGTTTAGAAGATTGGTGGCTGAGGGTGCAGCTCAGTGGTGGAGCGCTTGCCTCTCACGTGGTGGGCCATGGCTTCAACCCTCAGTATCAAAGGGGAGAAGAAAGATCTAGGCCACCACACGTCACGAGCCTACTCCCCATAATGAACAGAATATCATGTACTACCAACATGCACTAATAAAAAATAAAATAAAATATAAAAAGAGTGATAGCAAGCAGCAAAGCCATGCAGGCGGTGGCTGTTGGCCACCAGATCAAGCCCACATGGAAGTGTGAGCTCTCATCCCACCCGAGCATAGATGACAACCGAGAATGCTGCCTAGCATGAAGACTCACACATTCTCCGTCACAGCAAGGGAACAGGAGAGGTCTGTGACTGCCAGGGAGCTCTGTGCTAAGGGGACATGCAGATACCACATGTGGGGGACAAGACAGGGCTGCCATGCTGTGCAAAGACTCTGACACAGAGAATTCTGCAGAATCCCACGTTTAACAAATCCAGAGAAAGGAATAGTGCTCTCTACAGGGCTCTGCACTCAACAATCCTATCTTAGGACAGCAAAATAAAAAATAAACTTGCCCACCTACAAGCAACTAGAACAGGTCAAGTGAGCAGCTTTAATCCCATCTACTATGCATTCTAAAATAGTAAAACAGAATCTCTCAGTAAGAGAGATTAAGTTTTTAAAGTTGCCCGAGTGCTTCTGATGTGAAGCAAAAGGGACTGAGACTCACTGATCTATCCCTACCCTCTCTCACTGCAAAAGGGAAAAACTGAATGCTTCAGAAGTCCAGTACCTTTCTTGGGGTCAGTTAGGAACATGTCTAGGCTGCAGACTTTAGCTTTCTGACTTCCAGCGAATTTTGTTCCTAACGAGCCACCTATCCATCTTTGCTGCCTAGTTAAGTTTTGGAAACATAATAGGAAACTACAAGTAGTATGCTGCTTTCTGTATAAGTACTTGTGTATCAGGTATATCAAATCATACATGTTATATGTATGAATTATTCTATCCCTATATGTTCATATGTATGTATTTGTATATATGTCTATGTCTTGTATATAAATATGTATATTATCAACTTTCTGAAACAGAAGTACGTCATCAGCATGGAATCTGTGAATACCTTTCAGAGTTTAAAAAATGTTTCATGGCATGCAGATTATTACTCTTTGAAAGGCCCTGGAGGACTGTGTGGTTAAGCAAAGGTCCATTTCCAACTAGAAAAGCCAGGGGCTCCATGGGAAGCCCATCCTGCTGGGCTCCTCCACTAGTAACTGGGAGGAGGCAAAGCTCAGGGAGGTGCCTAGCAGTGCTAGGTTCCCGCTGGCAGGGACATTTCAGACCAAGAGGGAGTGAAGCACAATAGGAAGACTGCAGAATGAAGGTGCAAGTGAGAAAAAGTAGCCGGCAATGTTCTTGCTGCAAAGGGGAATATAGTGACTTACAGAAATACTCTAGTAATATTCTCAGTATAGATAAGAGGACCCCACTTGTGTTTAAGGAACACAACCTAACTGGTTAATGTTTTTAAATAATTAAGGTCACATAATCTTTATAGGAAAACAAAATAATCTGTGGGTCAATAAATCTTTCTTAGCTTAATAAGCAATGTCAAGTGGTAACAAATTATATTTCTATATCTAAAAGCTTAATAATTTGGGGTATACAGAATCTGAGTTAATGTAGTGACAATAATAGTGTTTACATAATAAAGAGTGGGAATAGCTGGGATGAAACGCCTGTGCTCTGAGGGGTTAATGCACTGGACTTAGGTCTGCAGCCACCTGGTAATATATAGTCAGTCTAAAGATACTTAAATTCTAATTTTTGTAACACTAGGTGGGGCATGCAACATGTTTCGGGAGATAACACGTGACTCATATTAAAGGACTAGGTACAAGTATTTAGCACAAGAGTCAGAGGATGCCAAAAAGGGGGTTTGAAGTAGGGTCTGAAGAGATCAGATTAGTGTAATTAATGCAAAATGCATCACCATGGTTACTGATAAATGTAAAAGAAAAGTACAGAACTATATTACAGAATGCTATTATACATAGCAGCACATATAAAAAAGGGAGTGTAGAACCAGTGCCCCAGAAAGAAAGGGAGAATATACTCAGATGCCTCAACGGGCAAAAAGCAATCTCCAGAAGAACAGCTAAGACTCTGTCAGTGCTACTGACTGTCTCTGGGAAGGAAACCTGCATGTCTGCGGTGCGTTATAAACTTTGATCTATGGGACCAACTCCTTGTTAACAAAACAAGCAGATAAACTGAAACAACAGAATAAGCAAATCAATGAAATGTCATGCTGGCTGCTGTGATACGAAAGAGGAAAGTACAGGCACACATAGCACGCTGCTGCAGCAACCCAGGCCAGCAGCAGTAGGTGGCACTGACGAGAGAAGTGGCAGCAGATATGAAGAGAAGCCATGCATTTAGACCAAATAATTAGCCTAGCCAGAGAAGGGAAGCACCTCTACAATTAAAACTACCATACTCTGACAAAGGAGATCAAAAAAGACAACAGAAAATAGAAAGATATTCCCTGTTCCTGCGTAGGCAGATACACCATAAATGGCCATATTGCCAAACTGACATATAGATTTAATGCACTCCCAATCAAAATATAAATAGCATTCCTCATGAAACTAGAAAAAACAATACTAAAATCCATATGGAACCAGGAAAGACCAAGAATAACAAAAACAATCTCATATAACGCAAGCAAAGCAGGGGGCATCACAATTCTGGATTTGCTGTTACATTACAAAGCTACAGCAGTAAAAATAGAAGGATTCTGGCATAAAAACAGACATTCAGCTGAACAGGACAGAATAGAGGGTGCAGAAACAACCCCAAGCACATTCAACTACT